CTCTCAAGTAAATGGATGTCATCTCACCAACTTTCCGAAAATTGCTCTGCCACCAGTGGGATCTTGATCACGGCTGTAGCCTCCATGAATCGATTGACCTCCATTACCCTGATTCTCCGTCGCTCCAGAACTAGAGGACCCAGTGCTAAAGCCACTTCCTCCAGGGCTAAAGCCACTTCCCCCAGGGCTGCGCACTCGACCCCACTGACCCCTATCATCGTCAGGTCCGTATTCAACGTCAACAATGTGCTTCTTTTTACCCCAGATACTCTTCTTGTATACCACTGAGATTCGGAATCCCCGTACAAAGACCGTCTGATTTACCGGCTTTTCTTCGGCATTACCGTGACCAGGTCTAGGAAAAGCTTTGGACTCGCAGCCTTTATGATGTCCCCATTCGTACGTAGCGTCTGGGTGAACCGTGAATGGTAGCGCAACCGAATCCTCGTGCTGTCTGCGTACATGCGACGCTGTTCCCCATGCTGAGCACTTCTCCCAGGCGGTGATCAGGTACAAATCACGGGTATGCCGATGTGTATTAGCGTAATCAATCCAGGCCTTTCCGTTCCTCTTCGCAAATTCACTGAATGTCTTTCTGGTCTTTAACTCCCTGATTGCACTGCCTTCGGGTAGCATCAGAATCGCGGCTTCATTTTGGGCATGGGAAAAGGTGTAGCGTGTGTAATCGCTGTAATGGCGTTATGGCGGGAACTAACGTAGAGTGAAACGGGACTTACTTCTCTTGAAAGCTATCTCGATCCCAGCAATGCGTAGGACCTCCAATATGATGATTCATTTGCCTTGAACCATTCCTGAACTGTAGTCCCTCCATAGAGATCGGAGCGAAATCCGTTGGAACAGTCTCGTTCACGGGGTTGTCTTTCGGAACGGTGATATTAAAGAGAAAATCGAATGGCTTATCCTGATGAATAACCCCAACATCGCCGATTCCTATACCAGTCTTTTTGTATGTTTCTGGTAATGGCGGGTCCCTTTCTTCCGGTTCCGGACACCATAAGGGGTAACCTTCTCCGGGATTGAGCATGAGTCTAGTGTAATGTTGTCCGCAGGAGCCACGATCAGCAGGTATCCGGAAGCCAAAATAGGGACCAATTTGAACTGGAGGTGTCGGAGGTGGAAGGCCTACTAGAAACTGAACGAGCAATATCCAACGGGAAGTGAACAAGATACCCACTGATTTGAATATGCTGACGCATATTCCCTTGATTATCTTCGTGTGAGATATGAGAGCCATTATGAACGACATTCCCATTCCCGTAATTGTCGGTGCGAAAATCATTGGTAACAGATTGCGTGGTGTCTGATTTTGCCAGGATCGGCGGCATGGGAACGGGAAGATCTTGTTGAGCATCCGCCGTAACAGATAGGGCTTGGGCTGCAAGGCTTCTAAGAATCTCCCAGGGAGACCGAAGATGAAGTGACTCTGAATCGTAGCCTGGGGGATCCAAATCATCGCAGTCTGACTCGGCACTTGAAGGATTTGTGCGATATACGGGAGGACCAGGCAAAGGAGGCAAGCAAATGCTGTATACGTATGCTTCCTCGTTTTCTGAATTGCTTTGGTCGTATCCATTTTCGCCTTGGATTGGTTCTGGTATTTCGTTGCATGTAAAAAAAAACATTTCGCTGCGACAACGAATGAAGCTCACCTTTCCCCTTCGACTCAGAGGCATCCCCGCCTTGGGTAGCAATAGTACTGATATCCGAGTCGCGATTCTTCCCAGTCTCTTTGCTCTCGATGAGATTGTCCTCCTTCTTTTTGTGGTGCTGGTCTCCATGAGCAGTAGAAGTGTGTTTTTCATCGATGGCGAGATCCATCTTGGGCTACGCAAAGAGGACGAGAACCTGAAGGCTTGAAGGAAGGCAGGGCGATAAAATGCAACGGTGAAAGCTGTATCCCAAAGAAACGCCGTTACTTACCAGCGTCCAATCCAGCTGTCAAGAAGTCTATTCTTCTACACGTAAGTACATCAGTCACCCATCCGTCATGGGTTTGATGCCCGTGAAAAGCCGTTCTATAGCCGTAAGAAAGGTGATTAGCGCCCTAGTGGGCTGCGGGGCTGGATTGAATGAGAAGCGGATTGTCTATAGAAACACGAATTGACATATTGCTAGTTCTTGAAAACCCTTTGGGATACTGCGTCAGATCAGCTTCAACGTACAATAAAACACGTTTGAGCTTTAGCGTGCCTTACCGACTATCCGTGATAGTATATGTTACGTACCCTGCGCCTGCTTTTGGGAAAGAGTTAGCTGCTGTTCGTGGAATTGGGAGCGTACACTCAACACTTCTTCACAGGTGGCAATAATTGACGAGACCCTACATCCAATAAAGAATGGTTCCATTGAAATCTCTTAAATGATTCGGACATACCTGGAACTTGAATGTAAGTGCCGGCGACAGTATTTTATTAGACATTACACCTGAGATGATTAGTTATGGGAGGGTTGCAAGATAAGTACTGAAAGTGCCATTCACTGGCGGTACATACATCTGTCTTCAGGTCAAGCCGGGTGGACTTGCGACGAATCGCTTCATGGTCGCAGAACAGAATGAAGGGGCGGGCGTCTAATAGGCATCAGGTGATGGCAGTTCTAAATGCCACGTAGTAAATCCACTCTCTTTCCCCGACCACGATGATCTCGCTGTTCTTCACCGACGACAATCAATCTGGAAGCTGGAAAATCGAATTGCTGAGTGGTCTCATCAAGATTGTCCAGATGCGGTAAGGAAATTGCTATGTTCGATGCAAATAGTACGTCTTTTGTCTGCAGTCTCTCGGTAGTTATCTGATGACTAGTATAGGTCAAAAATAGGCTACTTGATGCTGAAACGATCAGGCAGACATACGAGAATACTGGTAAGTCTTTCTTACATTCCTCTTTTCCCCATATCCTTCAAACAATGGGTCCAATAGGCATGAATGGCGACCCCAAGACGACGATGTTCCACAACGTTAGGAGGACCCATTAGGGCACACACCGCTCTAAGAAGAGATGTTTCTGAAGGACTTCGATGTGTAAAGGGAGGATAGAAAGCTGTTCGAGCACCGAGGTCATTTTCTCGGTATGTTTTGGACGTTTCTTCTCTCGCTGACGCTAATGAGCCATCAGATGTCCGAAATCATGAACATCTCAACGGATGCACGATTTCGGTACCAAAACCGGTCGATGCCCTCTAATCCTTCCGCTGCCTTCCTATCCCAGGTTACCACTACGAGTAAAAAGACGCAAACCACGACGTACCACCTTCTACGGTCGATACCAAGCACATCTTCATAAACCGCTCCTTTTCCCGCGGAAAACCACCTCGAAGCTTGTCTATTGTACACCCGAAGATTGGTGCAGCTGTCCGCCGATCGTACAAATCTCTCTTCCTACAGCAACATCCGCCCAGCTTAGACCTTCCTCCGTTACCATCCAGCTTCGTGTTTGAGCTTTGCCTAACCCGGTGTCGTAGCGATACCTTTGGCGACTAGATCTCTCTACTCCCTCCTTCTATGGGGTGCCTTCTCAACAAGCGGCGCCGTCCTTCACTCGGCCATGGTCTGGACGAGGAATACTGGCCGTGGAAGTAGCGTCATAATCGCTGGTATCCCGTCAATGGTACGCTCGCTGCTCACTGTCCCTCGAACTACCGTCTGAACAACAGTCAGATAGCTTTGTGGTGATAACAGGTCATCTTCGCTGGCCAAGTACGCTCCTCTGCGTCCCGTCCTCCTCTCCGCTATCCACCGCCACTCTTCCACCTTTCACAAGCACGAACGAAATGTGGCGAAAGATTCAGACGGCTACCATATGTCCCTAGCTCTTTCTTTCCCCCACGCCGATACAGATCCTCGCCTGGTACCTTCCACTATCACGATTTGTTCTCGCGCTTTCCATCAGGCTTGCCTTGAAGCTGCCCCTCGTGTATCCGACGATCGTGCGTCTCCGCTCATTATACACGTCATCCTGCTACATCTATACTGCATCCGCGTTTAGATTCTCCCGAATAGAAGCTGGGAAGTGAAATATCTTCATCTCCCAGATCTCTATTCGCTCTTTCATCCGCCTGTCAACTGCTCATATCACCATCTTTACCTCGGTCGGGATCTGGAGAAGGGGTTCTATTTGGGCAAGTCACTAGAACACCCTGGTACGTCCTCCGCTTCACTGTTTCCTCAAACATGTCCTAAACAGATTGCAGATTACTAGGTAGCGATAACGGTACATTTTCTCAACCCAAACCCGGACATGAAACAGGCAGCAATACCCGCATTTCTACACCACCTCGATCTTCTTTCCTTCGCCTCACCCTCCTCCACCTAGCCTTCCTTTAGAGTCATCCGTCTATTCTCGACTGCCAAAGCCCATGCAGCTACCACACATCCCCAAGCTCTCGTAGCCATCTTCCCTGCTCAATATGCTTACTCGGCGGTGTAGAGCGTTGCCGTTGCCGCCGCCTTCATCCCTCTCCCTTTCTCATTATCCAACCTGCTTGTGATATACCCCCTCCCCCCACATGCACTCCGGGTTCAAACAATCACTCTCCTTAATACTCGCATACCGAGGTCGATACATTCACCCCTTCCGTTCCCTTAGTCGCACTAGGGTGTAATCACTACTCACCCGGAGACATGGAGACGGGGAGTTGATTTCTCTTTGTTGACAAGAGCGTATCCCTGCCGATCCTCCTCGCTCGGAAGACTTGCCGTATCTCCCCACCACCGGCATCTGTCTCTGGAGTTCATCGGAGATGCTTCCTTCGTACCCCGACATCCTTCTCTATTCGTGTTCCGTGGCTGAGTAGGGCAGTGGAGTTGAGGGGGTATTCATTTGGGGGTTACATCAAAGCTGCGAGGGAAGCGGAGAGGGGAAGAAAGATTCGTATGGGTGTTGGTAGAGGCGTAGAAAGTAGCGAGCACATAGCTAGTACGACACTTTGCTATGTCTATTTCTATGGAATCCAATGAAAAAGCTATCCTTGTGCCACGCACCTCCCTGGCTGGGAGTCGAACCCAGCTTTCGCGCGATAAATCACTAATCGCCTCCATTAACATGACAGGCGCGTGTACTAACCGATATACTACCAGGGATGTGAACATTGAGCTAATCAATGCATCATAACAGGATAGCTATTGATGATGTATTCTTTGCACCACTCTTTATAACTTGCCCCGATCCCCGATATCGAAGTTGTGTTACCAAATTCTTCCATGCTGAGCTCGTGGTGGTATCGGCACACCCATCTGGGTACACATATACTTTACACTTTGATCATCCCCATGCCATTCACCTCACAGGGTGTTTCCCGGTGCATGTATTCACCTCGCTAGTATTCGATATCAGTGTCTCGGAAAGAATGAGAGAATGCACCGACTCTCAACGTTAGGGTTTCCTATAAAGGAAATTGAAACATTGATTACTCTTCAATTACAATTTCGCGTATGAAGGCTTTGGATCTTGACTTCAATGTGAATCATCTATCTGTTGAGTTAGATTCGGTGAACAAGTATTTCGTTATCGTCCCCATTCCATTTGCCAGAATACGCCTGTATAATCCGCGGAACTACAGCAAAACCTGTTTTGCCCCTATTGAAATAGAATAAGCGCGCGTCTTTGAAGCACGTGACAGAACGCTTCCTGAACTGAAACCATCACTACATCGCTAGGTATACGCTCTTCCATAGTAAAGTCATTCACTCACCCAAATTGCTATGTGAATAGACTTCCTATGTGCGCGAAATCTACCACCATCGAATCATTTCCACCAGAAATTCTCTCTCAAATATTCCTTTCCACTGATGTGCGGCATGTACTTCATCTACCCACGCAGGTTCAGATTTACCAGGCCAATAGTAATGCTTACGGTCCGCATTCGAGATCTACAGGGTCTCATCTCGGTCTCGTATGCCGCTATTGGAGAGCCATTTCAATGAGCACACCCGCGCTCTGGGCTTCGATCCGCTTAGAAATAGGATCCTCTGCATATCACCCTGCAACTCTCGAAACCCTCGAAAAGCACCTTTCGCGCTCAAAATCCCATCCTCCCTCCATTTCCCTAGATTTCGCTGATCCAGACTTGGATTTTAACCGACTCATCGAGTTTATCCATGAATCAAATGTCGTCGATCCTAAAGCCGTCCCGGTCACTTTTCACTTTATGAAATCCATACTCGCTCATGCCAAACGCATTTTTCACCTCTCTCTCCACATTCTTAGCACTGAACTGTCGCTCCGGTTCATGCCTACATTGCGGGATCGTTTGCTCAGTCTCACTCACATTGCACTTCTTGTTTACAACGACGAGCCATACAACATCCTAAATGCGTTCTCTACATCTCCGCTACGGAGCATCGAGCTGTTCCATGCTACCGTCCCCTTCAATCCAAAAAGACATCACCTTTCCTATTCCAATCTCACCAACATCCTCATTGAAGACGCCGATTTACCCCTCGTTATCGACAATCTATCCACATCCACATCACTTCAAAGCGTCAAATACGTTTTACATCAAACCGTGAATGTGGGCAAAGCCTCCATACCTCCACTCCTTCACCTCCGAAACCTGGATCTTCACATGATACTCCAAGATTACTCTCCCGATAATTACACCAATTTCATCAACCTGCTCACCTGTCCAGCGTTGACATCTCTGACATTCGGGATGCCAATGGATTTCCGCTCGGTCAACATGAAACCAAGTATGATGTATTTTCGGCAGGCGTTGACTGCTTTTGTCAAACGCTCCCCTCGGATTCGAAGCTTTTACTTGGGATATACGGAATTTTGCGACGAGGATGTGTTCTGTATCCTCAAGGAGATGAGGGAACTCGTTCTTCTCAGTGTGGCAATGACAACGGGAGTGAATACTCGGTTTATGGGGGCGTTGGGTGAAGGATTGTTGGTGCCGAAGTTGAAAGAACTGCGGCTCGATTGGTACTCAAAGGGGTTTGATTGGGATGCTTGGCAGGAGATGCTTTCATGCAGGTGGGAGCTGAAGGAGTGCTCCCTTGGGTCGGCGTATCTGGAGATTAGGTGGAGCTGTGTACCGGAGGATGCGAGAAATTGGGTAAGAGATAGGCAGCAGGAAGGTAAGGCGGTGAGGATTTTATGCAATCGTGAGGTGAGATTGGAGTTTTATAGGTATAGGGTGCAAGAACAGATAGAGCAGTTTTTGACTACGTGATAGGTCGTCGTAATCAATCTTTACATTATCCTTCATGTTCCTATTACTATCGCTCAGTAAAGCCTAGTTTTTGATTCTCTACTGCGTGCCGATTGGCTGCAACACAATAACGGGGAATGTTGAAATCTATCCGTCAAAGCCTTTATCTTCGAGTTATTCCAGCCATCTGACCACGTACCGCACTGTCAGATAGACAATTAAGCTCACAAATGGCTAACGAAGGATTTTAAAAGCCCCTATGGGGCCGGAGAAATGATGACATCATCATCGATGCCGGGACCGAGGGTCGCAGCTGCGACGGCGTGTTTTTCTTCGACCATTCTTCGACCATCATGACCCCTGCACATACTCAGTCCCGCATCCAATCTTTACCTCCAGAAATCCTTTCAACAATCTTCATTCTCACCAACATCAAACCTTACAAGACCCGCTTCGAGGAACGGTTTCGCAGGAGACCATATGGTGATCAACTAAAACTCAATGGTTCGCTAGTGGGCAGCGTATGCCGCTATTGGAGAGCCCTCTCATTGAATACACCAGCAATGTGGTCAAAAATAATTCTTGATCTCTCACAGCTTCAATATCCTCCCGCCATCCTCGATCGTCTTCAAATGCACCTCGAACGCTCCAAATCACACCCTCTTTCCGTCTCTCTCGACTTTCATTGGAATTTTCATTTCGACTCCTGTCTGGAATTTCTCGAATCATCCCAACTCGAAGGCGACGTTTCCTTCCGCCTCCTGAAAACCATCTTCGACCACGCAGGACGGATTCAGCGCCTCACATTGTCAGGCGCCCGTGAACAATTCTTTACCATTTTAATGCCCACGTTCCGCGATCAATTCAGCGATATTAGGCGCCTCGGGCTTAACAAGAACACATTGACTGCCACGAACGGCCTGTCGACATTTTCCGATGCCCGGATACAGTCCATTGAACTCCGTGGAGTGACGCTTACTTCTGAGCATTGTATTCCATGCTCCCATCTTACCTCCATCATAATCGATGACATCGACCTGACTCTCCTTGTCGGAGTCCTCGCAGGCAACTCTTCGCTACAACACGCGGATGTCTCCATTTGCAACTTTTCACTCCCCGATAACATCCCCGTACCAACTCTTCCAGACCTCAATACCCTAAACATCACCGCAAAAGACACCCCAAGATCCCCGTTCACCTTTTCCTATCATTCCAGCTTCGCCAACTTCCTTCACCAATTCGCCTGTCCCGCACTCGACACATTCTCCTTCCAAGACGTGTACGAGTTATCCAAACAATCAACATTCGTGCACGCACTTGCTTCGTTTCTCGCTAAATCTCCACATTTGCGATATTTTCAATTGGGCGGGACGTTGTTCAAAGAGGATGAACTGTTCATGCTCATTGACGGCATCCCCACTCTCTCCATTCTTGATCTTTCTTATTCAGGCACGACTCGATTCATGGACGACCTCGCTACCCATATATCGGGCTTGAAAGACCTGAGGATTCATACTGCTGATAAAAAATTCGATTGGGACGCGTTCAGATGGATGGTTACGGCCCTTTGGGAACGTCAAGAGCCTCCGAGGCTCCAATCAGTATACCTATCGACATATCGCGTATCGGTACCCGATGATATCATCGTTTGGGTGAGGGATATGCAGATTGAAGGAAGAGCGATTAGGATATATATTGATCGGGATGGTCATTACGAGTTCTTCAAGTATAGGCTTCCAGGTGAGTCAAACGATTCTGCTTTCCTTTCTTTTGTGTCACACTAGCGTGTTCTAGGGATGCCGTATGAAGTTGTCGGTTGGGAGGAGGCCGAGATATGGGATTCGGACAGGTGGACATAATTCTCGTTCCGTAGTCTGCTTCTATTGTAGATAATTACTATGTCTGTAATGTGAGTACCTATCATCGATATATCATCAATCATTAATTCGTGTTTACGCGATACGACCCGGTACTTATTGACATTACAACTCCTCGGATTAGGCAGCTCGATGGCCTATTCGGAATGCCGCCACGTGGTGAATTACACAACGCGGCCGGGCCCGAAGGATCGATGCGTGGGATCTGACATAGCATGAATGTGTTCCTCGACCAATCATGACCCCCAGCACTACACCGAGCCCATATCAATCTATACCTCAGAAATTCTATCTACAATCTACATTCCACCATACATCAAACCCAACAAAGCCCCTACAAAGTCCTCGAACCAGTACGCTGGTCAGTTATAAACTCAACGGTTCCCTATGGTAGCGTATGCGCCATTGGAGAAACGTCTCAATTGAATACACCAGGCTCCTGTCAAAAATCATTCTCATCTATATCAGCATCCTGTTCGTTCTCCGCATCCGAGGCCTCGAGCGCTTCAAAAGCACCACGAACAGAAACTCCAAAATCAATAACCCTCTTCTCCATCTTTCAGAACTTTAATCCGACTCTTTGGCTTTGACTCATGCCTAGAGTTTCTCAAATCATCCCAACCCGAAGGTACGTCGCCTTACCGCTTCTAAAAATCCATTTTTGATCACGTTGGACGCATTCGGCAACCTCTCACTTACAGTCCTTTGACGATTCTTCACTATTTGATGCCCACCTTCCGAGACCAATTCACAAACTTATTCGTCTCGGAACTGGAAGAGACATCGCACCGCAAGGCAACAGGACAATACGCAAACGCCCTGTCGACGTTTCCAAAGCTCAGTTTACATGCCATTGAACCGTGAAACAAGCTACTCCGAGCACTGGATCCCATACTCCCACCTGTTCTCTTACCATCTTCATCGAAAGATCGACCTTAACTAACTTTGTCTCGGGTCCCCCGTGGGACAACTCTTCCTCACTACAATACGCCCGATTTGTATTTGTGGACTCTTCACTCCCATCGAACATCTCCATACCTACCCTTTCCAA